TTTTTTTTTTTTTTTTTTTTTTTTTTTTTTTTTTTTTTTTTTTTTGAGACTGTACATACAGTTTCCCAGACAAAAGAAAAGGGTAAAAATAATTTAAGGCCAAAAAATAAATCTATATAGTCCAGATATACTTCAGGAAATACTTCAGATTTTCATGACTGACATGCAAGTCTAGCCATCGTCCATCACTCCATGAACGGTCTCTGCATTATGCCAGAGGCAAGATGCAGCCTGATGCAATGATCCACAGTTAAGGAAAAAGGCTGAAGACATCGCTGTACCCTCATATAAACTACCTCACCCTCCATGTAAGTGTGCAATATCTTTTTGGAGTTGTTAAAACTTCAGAAGAGGCAGTCCAAACATGAGTAGACAGACAAAAAGAAAGACTTTTGGGTAAATAATGATGGGAAAGATTTGGCCATTTAATTTCAAGAGCAGACTATTTGGAATTGAAGGTAATACAAGTAATACAAAATAGTTTCTATGTTAATCATAGAAATATCACCACTCCTTCTAATCATGAACGGTAGAGATGGGACATACAGGAATGTTTCATTCTCTGAGATTGCAAGAACAAGATAACATCTAATGAAACTGAAGTTAATGAATGTGAAATCACAGTAAGAGAACAGGCACAATCTGCAACGGGATCTCTGCGAGAAGAGTTATACAAGACATTAAGTAAGACCAGAAAAAAATGAAAACATTTACCTTTTCATTAGGCAGATTATAAAGGAGAGCTGTAAACCCTTTTACCATCAGGGTTTATGGAAAAGGACAAGGGGATTACTCTAGAACAGCCCATTACTAGGACACTGGAAGCTTTCTCTATCAGTGCCAGAGTCCTGTAGGAGATGGAACACTAACATGATCTGATTCTCTTGTACTTTATGGTGGACTTCTGCAAATCACTATCTGGTACATGCAAACACTGACTCAATTGTTTCAGGTTTGAGCATGCTCATAGGAGAGTATAAACATTTTAACCTGCCAAACCTGCTGCTAGTTTTCCAAATCAATCTGAAAAGCTTGTAAGCCTGTGATACCGAATTGAGATCTTCTTTTCCTACGTCTGTAAACATACTGCAGATGGAAAAATTAGAAAGAATACTGATGGAAATCCATCCACACAGGAAAAATATTCCAGCAAGCAGGGACAGCTGACACTTCCCTAATGGATAACTCCGAGCTCATAGGAATAACTGCTGTAACAATGGCTGTAGCGACAGCCACCTCTGAACCCCTGTGTCACTTCTCCCTTACCTCAGTCTCTCTCAGTCTGGCTTCTAGGGCAGATCGAGGTCCCTTGGTGTTGTCATTGATCCTCAGCCTCTCTTGGATGGCCTTCATCCAAGCTTCTGCATTCTCCACGCTACTGTCAAATTCATCCTGTAGCTTCTGAGTCATTGCATTCCAAGAAGCTGAAAGGATAAGAAACAAAAAAGTAGGTTTTGATTAAGACCTGAACAGGAATGCATTCAAGGCAATCTAAAGGAACAAGGGAGAAAAGTTAATGATGTTGCAGCTTTCCTTTTTAATGATAATACCAAAAAACATATCAGTATCGCGATTCAGTCAAGCACAGAGAGCTCATTCACACCGCAGCTTTTCCAAATGAAAATATACCAGGAAACAAACAAACAAAAAAAAAAGGTGGGGAGCTGTGGGAGGCTCCATTACCGTAAAGAGACTTAATTCAAAGCTTTCAAATGAGATTAATCTGGTGTTTGTGGTGTATTCCAGATTGACTACAGCAATCACAAACACGTTCTGTCTCTTCCTGGAGCCTAGTCAGTACACTCTCCCTGTGCCCTTTCCAGGCTCACGTACTGAGCATCTGACATCAGACTAGCACAGCACTTCAGCACATGCTTAACTTAGAGGTAGAGACACCCTTTAAAGCTGGTGAGATCCGGATCAGATGCTTAGGCCCTCAGTTAACTTGTTCTGCTGAGACAGGTTATCTGAATGCAAATGCAGGGAGTCTGGGACACAGACAGTGGGAACTGGCCAGCAACTGCCAAGACAAACTACTCACAAGCCATCACATGGGAGTATCAACACCCATGGATTTCCTTTTTTTTTCCACATCTTCTATTACATACTTTAATACTGCAAGCTTTAAAATTTCCCCTTCCTCTCTCTTATTGCCCCTTCCCAATCAGCGGGAGGATATGATGGTTGGTTGCTCTGTTGATGTACTCTTGTGTCTTCTCTGTTTAGATGCAAGCTCTCTGCTGCCCAGATGGCCTCCTTTGTGCCTGTACAATAGAGGAGAGCCATCCTACGCTTGCCCTTAAGCACTGCTTACTAATCTTGACTAATAAGGATGAATCATAACAAAGCCCCCTGTAGGTCAGCTCCACTGAAGTGAGCAGCCATTGACATTAAATGGTTTTGGATCACATCCTACAACTACTGCCAGCCAAGCAGTCAGCATCTTCTGTAAATTAAAATACTTTTCCTCTTTGTTATTCATCACAGAAACACTTTTGCAGCACAAAGTTTGAGGCTTAATTACTGAACCCAAGTTTGTTGCACAGAATTCAGTTCCAGAGCAGCCCCCTCAGTTTCCATGAGACGATTCATGTGGAAGAAAGTGCTTCAAGAGCATGGCTCTTGGCAAAGCTGGACCAGGGGTGTTTTGTAACTGCTTAAACTCTCGGCAGCTTAGCCTTTCCAAGGGAGAGCCATCCTTCTCCTGCCCATTGGCAGAAAGCTGTCCATCATCCCGCTGATATTCCTGTTCATAAGGTAAATGGATTAATGCAATATTAGATGTCCTCCCTTGTAGCTCCCAAGGCATTTTCTTCCACATTAGACCAGACAAATAAAACATTAATGTTCACAACAGTGATGTCTGGCAACAGACACAGTCTAAACTGTTGCTTCCCAGCCTTTAGCAGGCTTTATGCTCAACAGGTCCCAGAACAGAGCACTGACAGAACAGCTACCCATGAGAATTACTGCAGCAGAGGACGAGTCAGATCTCCAGGTGCAGACAAGCGGAGTTACATTTGCATGAAAGAGAGAAATCCTCCCTAAGTGAGAGATGTCAGACAGGGCAGAATCTAAAGCTGTAACTCTCTGAGCTAGAGGGCAGTTTTAAAAACTGTGACATCAACTTGAAAAGATTATAGAACAGGACGTACTGGATTTAGTGAGGCTGGTGCGGCACGGGGAAGCTACTCCCTCTCTCAAATATAAAAAAAAGTGACAGAATATATAATTAAAGCTAAAATAATTTACTTGCATCACAAGAGTCCTAAGGGTGAAGCCAGCTAAAGGAGTAATGTTATTCTCAGTGGATTGCTAGATAGCTGTGTCCTTCTCCAACTATGACATTTTTTCTGAACTACAATAATCCAACCCTCAGACAAGAGCACACACCTCTGCAGCTGACTGATCAACTCATTTTCACTTTAACATTTCTCATTATATCTAGCAGCTATAGAGGAACTGTCCCCTAAATTTTCCTTGTTACATACATACGTTTCTAGGCAAATAATTTCTGAATGTGCAAGTATAAATTGTGGCAATTCCAGTTATGCTATTGTGAAACAAAAACTCATTTGCTGGATAGACTCTGATGAGGAGTGGCATTCAATCCCTAGGAGAGGTTTCTATTTCTGGCAACATCCATATCATATTTAAAAATGACTTCAGAATTCCAGTCATGGAGTAGCCAATACAGAACATTACGTGACCTTAGTCCTATTTCTTGCAAAAAGTAGATGGCAATCAAACATGGTTAAGAAGCAGTGGAAAGCCTACTGTCATCTAACATGAAGGAAATCCCACTTAGACTTTGCCCTCACACTGCTCTCCTCTGAGCACAAGGATTTTCTGTCTAAAACCCACAGATACATAGACCCCCATCCCACATTCAGGCGTTCCATGTAAGCAGCTAATGCAGGAAGCCATAAAAAAAAAAGTTAGTTCAATATCAAGATCACTGGTCTGAAAAGGAAGAGAAACACTTTGCTACTTCAACTGTCTGCATAACATCATTGACTGATTTTGACCAAGTAATTCCTATACCTAGCACCATAAAGATGATTAAATTTAGCATGAATAGAATAGTTTGGGTTGGAAGGCCATCTAGTCCAACCCCTCTGCAATGAGGAGGGACATCTTCAGCTAGACCAGGTTCCTCAGAGCCCTGTCCAACATGACCTTGAATGTTTCCAGGAATGGGGCATCTCTCACTTCTCTGGGCAACCTCTGTCACTGTTTCACCACCGTTCCTTATATCTAGTCTAAATCTTCCTTCTTTTAGTTTACAGCCATTACCCCTTGTCATATTACAACAGGCCTCCTCTTTGGAGGAAGAGCAGCTGTTGACTATCTGAAATTTGCAATATCTGTAATTTCTTTGCAAACACTCCTAAAGGTGGGATAAACGATTACTGGCTAAGTGTTAATGAATCAACAGTATTTACCCCATTTCTGCTGCATCACGGGGATTAAATGATTGAGCAATACTTCTGGACATGAAATATAGGGCTCTGATCAGCACAAGAAATACAAAGGAGACATACCAACTCCTGGAACAGACCTGAGCTCTTCAGTTGCACAAATCCATCATTCACAGACCAACCTGCATCAGACAATGTAGGCCACCTGTGCTGTGGTGTGACAGCCCATATTCCAGGCCACAGGCTCAATCACCAGGACCCACTGTGCCAGGGAAAGCCTCCCCTTAATCACAGGTACGATCCTCTGAGCAATTTATACAAAATTATTTTTATCATAGTCATTTCCAAATATATGTAGCTATTCAAAACTACTTTTCATTTTAAGTCTTGAATTAACACTTGAATTGGCGTATTAATTCATACCATGGAAGGCTTATTTATACTGCAGAAAGCGTTTAGCATCTCTATACATATGTTACTAAATGTTACTATACATATGTTACTATGCATAAGAAATTCTGGCATAGATAATGAGAGGCTAAGTAACACCAAGTTATTTGTCCAAATGCAATAACATAGTAGAGGTAAGGAAGAAGCACATTTCAGGGTGCTGAGCATAAATGACCCAGGCCAGCTCCTGCAGCATGTCCAGAGGTTATAAAAAGCATGTTTTAGGAACAGGAAAATGTAAAACACGGATTAGCTCCAGAACCCTTTAGCTGAACCTCTTCCATAACACCAGCCTTCCTACCTTTTCTGAATCAGACTCCACTGCCCCCAAAACACTGGTTGGCAGTGTCTGGGCAGGCACACAGGTTCCAGTGCCCCAGAGGGCACGATGCCTCAGCCCTCACCCAGTTGCTGTACCAGGTCCAGGGCTCGTACCAGGCTGCCTATGGCTCGGTTACCACGCACGGGAAATCTGCACCTTTGGAAGAGGAAAAGATGAACTCCTGTGGTGACACACACCTGTCTCACATCAACATCACATACAGAGACAGCCTTGCATCAACGGTGGTTTTGGAGCTGTGTTGCTGTGAAAGAGCAGGTAAATTAATTAGCTGACTGCTCTTTATTACAGCTCTTGGAGCCACTACATGGTAGCAGTGCTACTGAAGGACGTGGAGATGCCTGGGTCTCCAAGGCAGACTGACACAGTGAAAGGCACAGGTCAACCTCCATGTGATCCACCCAGTGCTTGCGGGGCCAAATTTCTCTGAGCACTTCTTCCTTAAGTACAGCTACTTCAGCAGTCTTCCTAGTGCATCTAATAACTCCCACTAGAGTATTGCAAGATTTACTTATTTAATACCTGCTCTAGGTAGACCCGCTTCGGTGCGGGGGTTGGACTTGATGATCTCCAGAGGTCCCTTCCAACCCCATATGATTCTATGATTCTATGATTCTAATATTTGTATGCACTACTGAGAGCTTTAAAAGTTATTTTGTAAGTGCAGTGTCTTTTTGATAGGATTATCCTATTATTTTGCAATGTTTCCTAACGTACTATTTCCTCTCTGCCAAGCTATGCTGTTTTTTTTTTAAAAAAAAACCAAACAAACCTTCTTAAAACGTTTCTCACAACCACTCCCATTTTACGCATTCTTTTAAACCCTACATTTATAGAACATAGGCTTTTAAATGGTTTCAATATGTCTTAGATTCCCATATTCATGTACTACTTGACTAGTTTCCAGAACCCAGTTCTTAGAAAAATAAAAGTACAAAAATGCTCCAGGAAATTCAAATGATTCATCATTAAGGAGACCGTTTTCCAATTATTGAAATACTTCAAACTTTTCATAACCCTTTCCATTTGGTTCTGGTACTCAATGTGGAAAAAAAAAAATAAAAAAAAACACTGGACTGTGTCAAATTTTATATAAATGCATGACTGTGGAAGCAATTTTGGTTCTGGGAATTGTATCTGGGATAATTTAATAACTTTTCAGCTTCCCTGGATATTGTAAAGAGAGCTCTGAGAAGGAGCAGAGCTAGGAGCT